ACTCACTCCCTCACCTACATCTACACGGCGCTCTCCAAACCTGTCGGCCTCCCGGGCATCCACGAGTTCACAGCCATGGGTTTGCTGGACAACCGGATGATCGACTACTTTGACAGCGAGCATCAGTCAAAGGTTCCCAAACAGGAGTGGATGAGAGAGCGTTTACCTGCTGATTACTGGGATAAAGGCACACAGTCCCGCAAGAGCAAGCAGCAGTGGTTCAAGGTCAACATCGGCATCCTGATGGAGCGAATGAGGCAGAATGACTCAGCCAGTAAGTTGTCGCTCCGTTTTAATCCTGACGCACACATCATGGTGTCCTCTCTGAATCTCTGTTCTTCTGATATCTTGTTCATTTCTGTCACTGTTGGTCCTTCAGCCCCTCACGTTCTTCAGTGGATGCACGGCTGTGAGGGTCAGACGCAGCCTGACGGCACGCTCAGGTTTGTCCGAGGCATGGACATGTACAACTACGATGGAGACGACTTCCTGTCCTTCGATGATAGAAGCGGAGTCTGGGTCGCTCCGACTCCCGAGGCACAACTAACCAAGAGGAAGTGGGACGGCGTCCCGGTGCTGAAAGAGTACACCAAGGGCTACCTGGAGAACGAGTGCATCGATTGGCTGAGCAAGTTTGTGGGTTATGGACAGAAGCAGCTGAAACAGAAATGTATGTATGACATGAAATAAAAATAATATTATCATTTATTTATTTTTAAACATTGTTAATAGACTTTTTAGAATTAGTTGTGGTAATATGACCTCACATAATTATTGTGTTCTTGGTCAGTTTCATAGAAGCGCCTTCACTGATGGATTATTCCACTGTCACCGAGTCTCTTTCACGCACCTTTGAGACAAATTGAACCAAAACACACAAAAACCATCAAACTAGAGCCTCACCACGTCTGCCTCGTCTCACACAGTGTGCCAGACGCCACATAAACATCAAGCCAAGCAGCAACACACGCACTTATCACTTTCCATTTCCTCCATCCAGCTCCACCTGATCTGCACGTGTTTGCAAAGAACTCCAGAGTGCAGACAAACATCGTCCTCACCTGCCTCGCCACGGGCTTCTACCCCAAAGACGTCACAGTGACGATCAGGAGGAACAAACGTGTTCTGACTGCAGACGACGGCCTGAAGAGCTCAGGACTTCTCCCCAATGACGACGACACGTTCCAGAGGAGAGAGTACGTGGAGGTTTTAAAGTCTGACCCGGCTACATACAGCTGTGAGGTCTTTCACGAAGCGACTGATGTGGGAATGTCTAAGAGCTGGGGTAAGAAACTGTCATGGTTGTAAAAATGTTCTTTTAACTGGAGACACAAACAGAGTCTGCTGTTCACTGTGTAGGTTTCTTCCTGTCCTGTCATCTGATTGGTCAGTTTATGCATCAGTACCACAGCAGTGTAATACCGTGTGCTACCTGACATCCACAGGGGGCGCTGTTTCCCTCAGTGTAGTCATCAGCAAAGAGAGCAGTGCTGCTAGTCTGCTTAGAAGCTGCTGTGTTCAGCTTTAAGGGTCACATGTTCCTCACCTGCACAGCTGATTTTCACAGCAGCACAACGGAAAATGAACCAAAGGCGAAGTAATGTTCTTGTTTTGTGTGTTTAGATCTCAGCCTGTTACCTGTTCCTGATGACGATGGATCTGCCGTCACTGGTCTGGTGGCAGCACTCCTGCTCATGCTCATCGGTGTAGGCGTGATTCTGCTGGTCCTACGTAAAAGACGCAATAATGGTAAGAACGAACAGCCCGTGTGTCAGCACCGGGTGATTTTACGTGTGGGGATGGCACCAAGAATCAGACCATCAAACAAAAGCATCTGACTTACCCACTGTGTGTGTGTGTTTCTCTGCATGCATGCAGAAACACAGCAGATGAGTTTTAATGCTGTCTGTCTGTGCTCGCAGGCAGGAGCAGCGCAGATACACCAGAGTCGCAGGAGTTGAACGATGTTCGTCAGGAGTAACAGTGAGTTTCTCTCTCATCGTTCTGCACTGAGTCACATTAGGTCGGGCGTCCTTCACTAACAGCCTGTATTAATCTGTAGTGTGCACGCACGCTCAGATGTTTTATTACCTACACGTGTCGATTCTCTGCCCTCAGATGTGTAACTGCCTCCGAGCGTGCACGAGTCACAGTGAAGGCTCATAAGATGAAGCACACAATGAGGCGGTGTGCATGTTTCACGGAGTTTTGTGTGTGCTTGTTTTCTGCACAGTGTATTTATGTTTCATGCGCACATGTTAGTGAATGAGGCTCAGAGTGAGTAACAGCACCATCACCGTCTCTGTCGCCTCCTCTGAGCTGAGGACAGCAGCTGTCCTGACTCTGCTTCCTGCTGTTGTTGCTTGCATGATGTTCCAGATGTTCACAGCTGGTCAGAGGTCTGGACTGCAGGTGGACTTTCTCCTAAGAGTAGATGCAGTCTGCAGTTTAGCATGGTCCTGCTGAAACATGCAAACATCGTCTGGGTGGATGCTCCAACTGCTACCTACCTGTCAGCACTGATGGAGCTATTCCAGATGTGCCAGCTGCCACACCCTGGCGGTGTGGCAGGTCTCACCACCGTCATACTTCGTGCTGCCATCACTGTGACACTCTTCTCCACCCACTCCACCCTGCTCTTCTTCACCTCTCCTGTAAAGGAGGAGGAGAACGCCGCCAGACTGACCAGTTAACCTGATGAGTTTCAAACTGTTCCTCCAGCTGTTTCTTTTAACTCAAACTTCCTTTTTTTGTTTACCTCAAACCGACTCTGAGACGCATCACTGCTCAAATTGAGCTAAAGTTTGTATCAATGGGGTTTGCTGGTTATGAGTAACTGAGCATGTAAAATAACGCTGCTGCGTTCATCCCTGCAGATGGAGATCAGAGCTTCCACAGAAGCACATCGAGACTCGGTGGGACCAGATTTACCGAAACAACACAAACATTTGTTGCACTTTACAGGTGGATCAGCATTAAATGGGATTCCATTTAATTCAATGGATGGGTTTAAAGAATTGTTAATGCCCCTTGCAGCCAAATCTACGGTGGCCCTGAGAGGTCCAACTTCAACAACAACAACAACAAAGAAAACACTGCAGAAGCAGACCAAGCACAACCACAGTGTTTCTGGGGACGCACTAATGTGACGGACCGGCTGAGGAAGTGACAGAAACCAAAAGATGTGAAGAGTTGAACTGAAACACGCTTAAAGAAAGCTTTAAGGGTTAATCTGTGAAAATAATGTAATAATAATGTGTGTTTTAATCACATGATTCCTGTAACACATGTTTGCTGTGGGGGGGCAGAGCAGGTCATACAACTCAATTCATTTTTATTTATATGGCACCAAATCACAACAACAGCCTCAATGCGATTTTTCTGCTTTTGTTGTGTTTTGTGTGTTTTTGAAGCTGGCGGCACGGTGGCGTTGTGGTTGGCACTGTTGCCTCACAACAAAATGGTCCTGAGTTCAATTCAGGCAGTGTTTCTGTATGAAGTTTGCATGTTCTCCCTGTGTTTGTGTGGGTTCCTCCACGGTCCAAGGACATGCAGTTTGTAAGGATAGCTTAATTGAATAACCTAAATTGCCCATAGGTGTGAGTCTCTGTGTGTCAGCCTTGCCACAGACTGGTGACCTGTCCAGGGTTTACCCCGCCCTTTGCTCTATGGCAGCTGAGGCTCCAGCGACCCTGAAGCGGATGGATGGATGTTTTTAAAGCTGCGGTGCGCGTCACGTCTCAGGGCAGTATCAGAGTTTAAGTCGTATGTCAGTGTTTTTTAAAGCAGCTCAGAGCCTGAGAACATGTTTGGTCTGACATGATGCTACAAAATATATGTGCTTTAAGTTTACACATTTTGACCCACAGCGGTAAAATCCTGATGACGTGGTGTCGTCACACGGTTGGGTGGGCGAGGTGTGCGCACACTTGTGGCTGCGAGGACTCGAGAACGAGGTGATGTAGGACGTTGCCGCCAGTATTTTCTAAACTGGTAACTAAAGACGGCACAGGTACTGAGTTTAATCATCTTTGTTTCTAACACACAGACCGTCACTGTGGCATCATTAACGCTAACCGTCACGCCATCATGAGGGTGAGCAGTTAGAGTACAGGAAACACAACTATGACACTGATTTCATGTTTTAATAAATGGGTGGAATATCTGCTGTATGACTCTGTGACTTTGTGTTTTCACTGTGTGATGATGAATAATGACGAGGTCAATAAAAGCAGGACTGACAGGTGTTTAACATTTAAAGCTTTTAATTTGAAAAATGTAATGAACGTTAATATTTCTGGGACCAACTTTTGTTCTGTGTGCAGGTCACTCGTTACTCTGCTGTGGTTGTTTTTAAAGTGCTTTATAAATAAAGGTGATGATGAATAAACAAACAAACATAACTTTACTGTTGTGTTTTTGTTCCATTGTTAAATATTTAGATATATTTTAGGAAGCATAAAACAAATGTTACAGAGTTTTAATGCTTCTGTATTTTTATTCTCTATAACTAATAAAGTGAAATCGATGAGTTTCTGTCCCGAACATCTTCTGAGGTATTTTAATGGCGCGTTTCTTTGACACTACTTCATTCTAGTCGTTGCTTTTTACCCTAGTACAGATATTTTACACACGGAGTTATTTTGGGAAATATTTTTTAGAATAAAGACTTAAAGTGATAATAAATCTTTTTTTAAGTCAGAGCTGGCTGTGTTTGCAGTCATTCATTGAACTTAATATTTATGGATGCATTTTGCACTGCTCTCTTGCACAACATCTGTCTTACTTGTGTCTGTTTTAACTTTAAATTTAGATTTTACTTTAGTTTCTATGTGTGAATATATAAACTCCTGCAGTGTCTCATGGAGTCTTTATTGTAACTCTGCTGTTTTGTTGTTTCTAACTTTCAGACGTCTCTGATTTCTGACTCGTTTTGCAAAAAGCAAATAAAAAAAGTCTCAAATGTTACAGTCTGCAGTTTCATCTTTGTTGTTTGAATTATTGTTTACCAGACTTGTTATAAAGTAAAAACCAGCACATTGATCCCACATGTGAATGTCGTGGATCAGAGCTTGTGTGATAAGAAATGTAGCCACAGTCTGCAGATGCGTCTCTTTTTATAAGTTTGACCTTTTTTTGATGCAAACGTGTGTTATTGCGTGTCTCTGTGTGGTCGTAGTCGTCACGTATGAAAGGGCAGCGTACTGTAAAATCATCGGCCTCATTTACAGCCTGTACTCACAAGCAGAAGCAAAAGTAGAACGTGCAGCTTAAAAATGGCCCAGCGACTGACGGCGGTTAAATTAAGGAGCCGTGGGCCCTCAAACACAGGGACCGGTGTTTGAGGGCCCACGGCTTCAGTGTTTATGGGCTCATGTTGCTTTTGTTCTTAGTTTTGTTGTTAGTGGCTGATTTTCATTCATACTTTGGTGTTGTGAGTCTTTCTTTCTGTAGTCATATTTGTAGTTATATTCTCTCTAAGTTGATCCTCATTCAGTTTCCCAGTGTTTGTTTGGCACTCTGCGTCTGTTTTACTTCCTTCTCTGATTGTCCTGATTGCCTACAGCTTTGTCCTATAACCCTCCTGTTTCCACTTCCCTGATTACCCGTCCCCTCACTATCCTCACAGTCTGCCATCTTTGACACACTGACAGAAAATTGATCAGTACTTTGCCCCGCTGAGCTTTCACACCACCTTAATGTGGAGGCTGAACTGGACGCCTGTACTCGGTTACCAGGGTAACATGGTGTTGTGCCCCCATGTTGGGCTCAGTATCCGGTCTTTGAGTCTGACGTCACTATTCCCAGGTCCAAACTCAGCTTCAGGTCCCAAAGTCAAGCGAACGCTGCAGCATCACTGAGAGTTAAAAACTGTCTAAATTCTTCCATCTTTAATAAAATGATCAGCGTTGCTGCTTTACCAGGTGTAACTATGAAGTTTAACATCCAGGCATCCATGAAAACGGAATTTATGACATTTATTAAATTTAGCAGGAAGTTAGCAGGAAGTTAGCTCGCTAGCTTCCTCCTAAGCATGATATAGCATGTTCAGACTGAGAGGTTTCTGAAAAATCCAAACGTACAGCTCTGTTATCACTTCCAACATAAATGAAGACAGAAAACTGAACAGCAGTGACGCTTGTAGGGTTACTGAAGTTGGGCTAGCTGCTATATAATGATGTGCTACGTCAGCGGTCTCCAACCTTTTTTGCACCACGGACCGGTTTATGCCCGACAATATTTTCACGGACCGGCCTTTAAGGTGTTGCGGATAAATACAACAGAGTAAAACTACCGGTACCGAAAAACAGAAGATTTATTCATAACACACGTGAAAAGACCCAGGAAAACAGAGTAAACGATCAAAACGATAACAAAATAACGCTGAAAACCGCTAAAACCCCTGAAAACCAGACATTTCACACCTGAGCCTCAACTCTCACGGCCCGGTACCAAACGACTCACGGACCGGTGCCGGTCCGAGGCCCGGGGGTTGGGGACCGCTGTGCTACGTGACTGCTAGCGACACAGCTATGTTAGCATAATATAAACAAGCTAACTTTTTTTCCACTGGATAAAAGTTAACGTGAGTGTTCTCGGTGGTCAGGAACAAATGTAATCGCATGGCAGGATGCTGTAAAAGGACCAAACTTCAGCCAGGAGAACAACTGAGATAATCCATCCACAATATGAGGTTAGTCATTCATATACTACTGCTTCTGGGCTGTAGTTACATCCTAAGGTTTTAAAAACTGAGCTTTAAAGTGAACAGTGATGATAAAAACCGTGAGAGGCCGACAGGGATCACTGACTGTTTTTAGGGGCTTGTTCAGATGAAATAGAACAAGATACAAAACATTAAAACAAGTTAAAAACACAACAGCCTTAATAAACAGAGGGTAGTTTGTACCTGGAGGCAGGATTCATACGTCATCACGTAAAGATAAAAACGAGTCAATAAGGGACAAACATGCAGTTCTGTCAGAGCAGAGGAGGGAGCTGAAAATGTGACGTCGGGAGGTGAAGCGCAGGTGATGTCACCTGGATGGAGTGGCTGGAGCAGGAGGACTCTGTGGTGCTGTTTCCTTTTTGCTCCCAGGAGGAGCTGGTGCAGTTGTTCCTGAGGTAAAGGTGCTTCTGAAGAGTATAGAGTGAAAACAAGACAACGTCCAGCCTTTGCAGCTGTGCCGAGAGCTGCACCTCCCAGCTCTTTATTCATGAGTCATGTTCAAGCCAACAAACACACACACTGACAGAAGCTCCGTGCACATGCTTATATTACACTTTCAGATTAGACACGACGAGCTGCGCGCTTGTTCTGTACATCCTGTAACATGAGCCTTCATATTGTTTCAGAAGGGGAACAAGAGCATAGGATAAAATCTCGTTTCTCAGGTTACCACGTTTATGTGTTTACTTTTGTGCCGTGTTGTTCTGAAAATGAAATTAAAAGGTGTCACATTTACAGAGTTCATGATGTGTGCTGTAATCTGGCAGTCCCCTCTGAAGCGTGTCAGCCTTTCTTTCTTTCATCGCTCTCGTCTCTTGTCCCTGTTGACTCCGTCCTCGTCACTTCCGCTTGTCCTCCTCTGTTCTCCCTCTCCTCCTTCCATCCACTCCCCGTCTGTCCATCTTTTCCTCCCAAAGCGGAAACCAAACCCTCCCTTCTCACGGCTGACAGCTTGGAGTCCTCCCGCAATGGAGGTCAGAGCATCGTTCCTCTTCCACCCGTCCTCCCCCTCTCCCCCCTCCTGGTAGTGCATTCTCTCCAGAGAGTGACCCCCAGGGAAGGGCGACAACGGCTGGGCCATCAGGTCTCCTCTCTGGGCCTGCAGCAGAGCTGCTTCTTCCCACGACTGGTCATCCTCCTCACTCTCCTTACCTGGCTGGATGTCTCGAGGCCACTCGGCCCAGGCTTCACTCCGGACGTCCCCCGGCTCTTCCAGAGCAGCCTGGAGGTGCAGCAGGGTGGACTCCAGCTCAGATCCACCCACTGTGGGCAGGAGGGCGGTGGGAGGATAAGGGTATGATGTGACGGGGTGTGGGATGGAGGAGAGGAGGGCGAAGGAGAGGAGGGCGAGCTGCGAGGCACCAGGATGAAAAGAAAGTCTCATCTGGAAACAGAAACAGACTTTTATCAGCAGGTTATTGTGTTTATTAGCTTTAATCAGCTGATGATAACGGTCGAGAGAGGAACTGAAATATTATTAAACAAAGGGTAAAAATACTGCATTTGAAGTAAAAACCAAAAGAAAAAAAACTGTGAACATTATTATTGAGTTTGTCTCATCACACACACAAACCCTGAATCCGCCTCCGCCCAGTAAACAGGAAGTGTTAGGTATTTTAGTACCATGGGAGCATTTACTGGATATTGTTTTATAGTGACATTATGCAGGAAAACTCTGTCATTCAATAAGGCCCCTTTGTTTTAGTTATTTTTCTCTTTGACCCAAGAATTGATGTGTGAGAATCACAGGCTGGTACAAGGTTGAAATACCACAGAGATCACTCCCTCAGCTACATTAGTTTCTTAATCTCTTAGGAGACGCCTGTTGAAGGCCAGATGGTTTGTTTCAGATTTCACTAATGAAAGAACTCTTTGTTTTGTGCCTTGAAAATATGTCGCTGAGATAATCACAATTGTAGCTGAACTGATAAACTATACAAAGGATGCTTCTTCACCCAAGGGCAGGAAGACGCTCCCTTATCTTGGTCTGTACTGGTTTAAACTGATAATCTGCTGTCTCGTGAATTTTACCCTCTATATAAACTGTTGTACTTGTGAATAAAGTTGAGTCACTTTGGGAAGACAACCTGAAGCAGTCTCTGTTTTCTTGTTCTCCCAAGCTGCTCCCGAGCTCGTACTAACACGCTGAATGGCATGCTTGAATGTTACTTGAGAATATATTTGACTGTGTTACAGACTAAGGTACAATCTCTGCTGATAGACGTCCACGCCTCGGAGGAAGCCGATCCACGGATTAGGCCCTGGAAGCCGTTTCCTTCAACACAGATTTAGCAACATGAGCATCCTTCCTGTAACTCTGAGCTCCCTGTCTTTTCTCCCCCTGAAATAAGCAGCTGCAGCACACTGTGAGACAAACACACAGTTTGTGTGTTTGCTGATGTTTGTTGAGCTCATAGAAACGCTGCCTTTCAAATTACCTGACACTTTAAAAACGTCACTCCCTTCACGCTCGCTCCTCTTCTGTAGAGCGAGCTGGATGCTGAAGTACCAGCAGTGGTTAAATATGGATAAATAAAAACTTTAACCCCTGACTGTGGCCCACAGCTGTTCCTCGTTCATCTCATCTTACCTGGTGATTAACAAACAAACAGGATTTCCTCTCATGTGTTTCTGTTTAGGCTCAATTCAGTTTGATACGTAAAACATCAGCAGTAGAAAATACATTTTGTTTAAAAAACGTAGGGAGTAAAAGTAAAAAGTAGCCAGAAAAAAAAGTACTCAATTAAAGTTCAGATACCTGAAAATTCTACTTAAGTACAGTAACAAAGTAACTATATTTGCACATGTGAAAAAGGCTTCTTCCTGTTTGTCTTTCACAATAAAAGCCTTCAACATACCATGGTGAGCTCACAGTAGAGAGAGATCTCGCTCACAGCTCAGTTTGTGTCTGAGATAAACTCCAACCTTTGGTTTTAATAGTTTTGATATATTTCTAATATTTCAGTAACCTGCATGAAAAGTTCTAAACTGACTGAAACGCTGTTTCTCGAATTAATCTGGAAATAATTCACTGAAAACACCAACGAAGAAGACACACAGCAGAAACCTGCAGCCGTCTCTTACCTTGCTCCGTGTGCGATGACCTGCTCTATCTCCTCGAAGAATCTCCACATCTGACCTTTTTAAAAACTGCCCGCTCTCCTCTGCCGCCCCGCCGTCGCCCATTGGTCACTCGGCCCTGTGACGCATGAGAAGGCGAGCGCCGACCACGATAACCTTCATACTTTCTTCTGAGAAACGATGACCCACTTCATCACAGAGGCCCAGCGAGTCATGGCAATTATCGCCGTTTGATTGTTGAAGGTGACTCATTAGGACATTTCTGAGGACGGCGAGGGATTCCTTCCTTATATCGCCGCTCGTTATGAATGTCAGCTCGCTGGGGAAACACAGACACACCTGAAAGAATGTCATTCATGATGAGGAATCGTCTCTGTGACGGATCCAGACCTCAGACCGAATGATGCTGCCCTCAAATTACTGCCAATTATGTGACCACAGATCTGCTGAGAATTGATTTCTGAGAAAAATGCTTCACCTCCGGCCTTTTAATGATTGAAAGAAGAAAGTCTGTCACTGTTTCCATCACATGCACTCGTTAAGTAGTTCGAGGAACACGAGGAAGTCGATCGTTCATTAGAAAAACAGTGAATGTGATCAGGATGTGATGCCAACGAATGGTAAAAATGAAATATGCCGTTTCAGATCATACAGGCGAGGTCACCGTGTTATGATGTTTCATGCTGGTGTCCTGTTCCTACCACGAGCCTCTCGTCAGTGAGAGCAGAGCATGAAACTCAACAAGCTCTTAGGTTCATGCTAAACAGACAACTCGACACGTCACAGGAAAAACATGAAAGCTGGATTTTAACAATATATTTATTATCAACCTCACAAATCCGACAGCTCGTCACAGTTTGAACTCCGTCTACATGTATTTACTGTGTTTTCACTGACTAACAGTAATGTGGACCAAAAGCATCAGCGCTAACTTCTCCACCTCCTGCCTCCCCAAAGTCACCGTGGACCTCCAGGGTGGACATGCACCCCGGTGCGCTCTGGGAGTCGTAGTCCGGGAAGAAGTCGGGGCTTTGCAGCAGCTCCTGGGAGGGGTGGCTGATGACCTGCTCGCTGAGCGGGGAGGTGAGCAGGGACAGCTGCAGCTGGTCGATGGTGCTGGTGGGAAAAGGCTGCGATCGGTCCGGCGGGGAGCAGGTCGGGGATGAGGGACTGGTTGCCATGGTGGCAGCTCTCGGAAGAGCAGAGGGCGAGTTGACCTGAGAGTCATCGGAGAGAAGGGAACGGCGGAGTTTGGCCCGAGCGTTCTGAAACCACACCTGAGGGACAACGAGAGGGACAAGAAGACGTTTGTCACTCAGCCCACAATCCACAGTAAGCCACACCGTTTCCATTCATCTCAGGACAAAGGGCCCACGTGAGTGGAAGCATCCCACCTCTCCCACACCACAGCTGAGTACCTGCACATGATTACAGTCTATCTGCATCTCTGTGCTTGTTTTACATCTCTGCAAACAGAACAGCTGCAGACACACAAAATAACAACAAACAAACAAAAAGGAGGAAAATTGCATGAAAATATGCAAAAACTCAAAGATGGCACAAATCTATGAAATGTCTCTAAAAGGTCTGAAGAACAACCAGAAAGAGATAAATGTGTGTGCAGCAGAAGAAAACCCCACGGCCATGTCAGGGCTGAGAAATGAAACCAGACAGGAAGTGACTAAACCTGCACTTCCTCTAATGACCACTGGAGGCCCGCTCCAGAAGCCTGTGCTCAAACCTACAGCAGAAATAAAGACGGTGCAAAGCTTCATCGTTTATCAGAACTGTGTGAGTCAGTGTTCATCTTCAACCCTGTGCGTGTGAGGATCTTTGACTTTTACACTGCTGAGCCAATAAGAATGCGGCGTTTCATTTTAAATGGAGGCCTCGAAGGAGCCCGTCCTTCCAGACGTTTGTACCTGCAGGACTCTCTTGGGCAGGCCGGTCTTGTGTGCGAGGCAGGTCCAGTCTTTACCGTCGGGGTTGTGTTTCTGGGCAAAGTACGACTCCAACGCTCTGAGCTGCTCGCTGCGGAAGCACGTCCTGATTCGCTTGGTCCTCCGGGGGATCCGCCCACCTGCCGCCCTGTCGTCCGATCGTGGCTCTGGACTGCTGACAGACTCCTCCCCCTCACCTGACACCTGGGCTGAATTCGGCCCCGACCAACAAAGCAGAACAAAACTTTCATTCAAAATGAACTTTAGAGAAGTTTGACTGAGAAAAGGATTTGAACATTTTATTACATAATGACTAAACTGCATTTTAAATCACGTTTGATGGTTTCATGATAATAAATATTAATAACGGTCTTCACCCTGGCCTCCGTAGCGCTCTCATAGTGACTGTATCAGGACTACGGAGCAGCGAAGCGTAAATGCCAGCTTTTATAAAGAATCTGTTATTCTGACCTCTGTTTGATCCTCAACTCGTCCAGATCTCGTCGTTAGTACTTTAAGCTGTTTGATGACCGACTTTAATATCCGGGGGGGTTAAATGGACGTTAAAGGCTTGTGCGACCTGCAGGTAAGTGGTCAGATTGAAGTTGTCCCAGGTACAAATCTAACCTGTCCTGAAACGTGACTGAATATGTCGTTTAGTTGGAAACATCATCTTAGTTTCGGTGGTCAGAGCGTAAAACTGCAAACATAAAATCAACAGTGAGAGCTGGAAGGTTGCTGACTCCACACCAACATTTTCCTCCATGGACGTGAAACTTCCGTCGCCGTGTTTTCATGACGTTTCTGCTCCAGTTAACTCGGCATCACGAGCAGGTCATCTATCAGGAGGTTGGTAGTTTGATCCCTGGCTGGTTTCCCGCTGATGTGAATGTTAGGAAAGGCTTAGATGAGGAAAAGCTGCTGGTGTGAGCAGGTGACTGTTGTGTTGCTCTGCACACAGTGTGGTTCGGTGCTCAGGCTGTGACACAAACACTGCATCAGTTTTCACTCCTTCTCTCACTGTTTGGCAGTAAACGTGACGACTCCATGAGTGACAGGATTGTTTCATCAAAGCGGGAGCGTCACTCCCACAGTGGGAGTGACTGCAATACTTAAAGCTCCATGAGTGAGAACGGGCTCATCATCATGTGTGAAGTGAGTGGAGGACTTCCCAGCTGGGAGCAACATCTCCAAATGCTGCTCGGAGCTGATTTAAAGTGATTAAAGTCGAGTGGTCGGAACTTCCTGTATTTGACATTTAAATCCAAATAGAGTGGGGGAGCTCGACAAGATAAAACAAATAAGATGCCCACAAAGGCCCCAGAAGTTCTTCACACTCACCATCTAGATGCTGTTTGGGCTGCAGGTCGGGGGGGGGCTGCACGCCCCCGTCACTCTGATAGTGAGACTGACAGTAGAGGTTGGCGCCCTGCATGCAGTACAAGTTCCCCGGCATTAATTTCACGTCACACTCCTGCAACACATCAGACAGACCGTCTGCATCTATTCAGAGCTCTTTAACCTGAAAATAATAAGACGAAGCGTGGAGGCTGACCTGGCAGGAGAAGCAGTGAGGATGGAAAGTCAGCTCACCAGACCTCATGACCAAATCAGAAGCTGGGATTGGCTGGAAGCAGCGAGCACACTGACCGCCTCCAAACATCCTGAGCGGGAGGAGAAAGCACACCAGAGTCAGAAAGGTGAAACACAGGAAGCAAAGGAAGGCGAGACCTCGCAGACCTGCAGTAGTCCTGCTGGCAGTAGATGTTTCCGTCCCTCCAGTACAGCGACGGGTGCGTCTGCAGCTCGCACTGACACTGGCTGCAGCGCAGACAGGGGTTGTGCCACACCCGCCCCGCAGCCAACAGGAAGAAGCGGTCGAGCAGCTGCTCGCCACATCCGGCACACGTCACTGGCTCCTGGATGGACACAGCTGTTGGAGCCTGAGCCTGACAGACGGATTCAATGTCAGTGAACATTTACTGATAACAGTGATGTCACATCTGGATCAGAGAAAATGTGATTGCACAGTTACTGAGCAGGAGGCCGACAAACACCTGAATATTGTCCCAACTGTTTTTAACTGTAAGCAGATTATGACTGTTTTTGTATCAGATTCAGCAACAAAATGTTCTTTATTCACTGATTAACGTTATTTTAAATGAACCAGAGCAGTACAGATGCTGTGTTTTGGTTTTTATCCAGAAAACAGCTGTTAGATGAGTGAAACCAGAGCATGTGTGCAAAAGGAAATCATAACTTTTGACTGATCGGCCGTCAGCAACAACATGACAGTCGAGTACAAGTAAAATATAAAAACTAATGTTGTATAAAACAAGAATAAAAATATAATAATACTAATAAATATTACTATCAATAATATTATATTATTTTTATATAATTGAATAATTAGATTTAATATTCACGTTATTTGCAGCAGCGCTCTCCTCTGCGCCGCCGCCCAGCTCCGCCCCCTCCACCTCGTCACCAAGGTCACTGCCGTACAACAGGTCGTCGAGGGCTCGGTCATCTGGCGACATCATGACTGAAAAGCAGAGGAGGCGTCATCAGAGCGATGAAAACCTCAGTGAAGGTCGCGACCAACAAGCAGAGTCCCAAACATCGAGTCAGCCGTTTCTATTCGTTTCTATTCGTTTCTATTCGTTTCTACTCATCCTTACGTCTCTTTGAAAAATGTATCACATGTTTTTAAGGCTTCATTTTGTCCTTTGGGTTCTTTATGTCATCATCATTTACAGTTTTTGTTACCAACAGGACAATAGAAGATATGAATTCAATGAGAAAGTGGTGGAAATGCGAACATTACTGCAGCTCTTATTTGGGATGCAGGTGGATGGAGGAGATGGAGCGAGCTTACCTGTGCTGTTCAGAAGCTTCTGGTTGGTTTTCCACTGAGCGTGCTCTGTGCGAACCCTCTCCAAACCCTTTAAGAAGAAGGACCAGGTTCGTTCTGCTGAAGCCACAAACGCCGCTCTGCTTGAACAAAAACGCTCCTCAGTCTCAGCCTCTTCCTCCAGGCAGTGGACCACCTGAGCGCCCTCAGCCCTCCAGGTGTCTCTGCAGCCACCTGTCTCGTGGTTTTGGGACTGGTTTCCCTTCACATGAGACCTGCCTCCACCTCGTTCTCAGCCAATCGCTTTGCCCGCCTCTGATCACTGGTCTGTCCCCAGTGACGCCCCGGACACACACCTGTAAACAAGCAGGCTCAGAGGACAGGTGAGATCCACTGTGATTGGTTTCCTGGTGAGCAGAAGGGTGGGAGGGTGGGAGCTGCACCCTGGGGACCAATTAAAAAACAAAAGGTTTTTAAAAGCACATCTGGGAGCTGAGGTGAAGAAAGACACCTTTTCCCTCAATGCTTCAGCTGAACATGGACTCAACTGGCAACAAACACGAGACATTTTCTCCACAGTTGAAAGAATCATTCATGTCCTAAACATGAACGTACCCTTCCTAATTATCTTAGACTGCCCTACAATCACAGGGCTCCATCACGTGAACGGTCTAAGGCTTATGAAAGGGTGATTTTATTGGGTGTACTTGTTGCTAACAAAGAGATCAAGCTTCTAAAGTCACCGAACCTTTCACCAGAATGTGAACAACACACAACATTTATGGGACACAGGCGGTGAGGTGACCTGAGGCCATCATTCATATCATCAAGCTAGTGTTAGCTCAACATTTAGCAACATTTGGACAGAATTCATGTTCACTGTTGGGTATAACGTGGTAATAATAACAGTTACAATGCACAGTTACTGTACTGACATATGTCACTAATGTCACAGTGTTACCTGCTGTTACATACTCTTTTCTTTCTGCACACTTGAGCAACAACCAGCTGATATCAGTTTGTGTGGAGTGGTCTACAGAGGAGATAACAATGCTCATCTCATATACACACACACACACACACACACACACACACACACA